CCCAGATCCTTTTTGTGTTTATTAGTATCGGTAGGGGATAGTATCATATTTTCGCCCACCTTATCGGCCATACCCTCAAAAGGGTCTTTCATTGAACCAAAGGCTATGAATAATTAAATTATTTTAAAAATATATTTTTAACTAATACCTTGATAATTTTAACCTGGCTTGATATTATTGACATCAAGTGGGTAGGTAGCGATAAATTGGCTGTGAATTAAAATGAACAATGTAAATGTGGTTATTGTTAAGCACGTGTATGCTAGTGTAGCCATGTTTGAATTTAATTAATACAGTATAGTTATTATTTTCCAATTTAATTTATATAAAATAATATAATATTATTAATATTAATTAAATAATTATTACTTATTATAACGTAATAATATTTTTAATTTAAAAATAATTTAAATTATATAATGCAATTGTGTGATTAAATAATTTAAAATTATTATGTCACGTGTGATTACGGTTGCATTATTATAAAGATGCCATTTTATTAATAATATATTTTCCCCATAATTTCATATCCCAAATTTTAAAGCAATTAACTTGTCTAGATAATATTTGCAAATATGTAGTGTAAACGTTACAGTTTAAATAAATTATAGTGATTATTAAACTTAATTTTATTTAAAATTAACAAAATAAAATTCACGTTTATAAATTAACTTTTATTTAAATAAAATTAATTGTACATTTATTAATTATTATTTACAATTAAGGTACCACGGGTATCTTCAGTAGGCATTTCCGGTGCACGAAATACACGTTTAAAAAAGGACATGCCCTTTTTTGGTGTAAATCGTGAAATGCCAGCCCCTGTTGCCTATGTAGAGACATCTGTTGCATCATCTCCCAAATTTTCAGGTTTTGTAATTATGGTGGGACTGGTAGTTGTTATAGTAATGGGAAATTTTGTTGTAGTAGTACTTGCTGTGTTAGTAGGAATTTCCGGTCCATTATCGCCCTTCTTATGCTTACCGAATACGCGTTTAAAAAAGAACTTGGTACTTTTGAAAAAACTTTTAGCCTTATTTGGTATTAAGCTGGCCCATCGTGAAATACCAACCCTTGTAGCTTTTGTAGGCTTTGTAGTCTTTGTGGCCTCTGTAGCCCCTGTATCCCTTGTAGATACATCTGTAGCGTCACTTCCCAAACCTTCAGGTATTGTTATTTCGATGGGACCGGTAGTTGTAGTAGTAATGAGGATTTCTGTAATATCAGCACTTGTTAAGTCAGTAGTGGTCGAGGTGATATGAGCCTGGTGCAAAAATACATTAGGCCAACTGTTAAATTTTTTGGGCATAAAATGCTTGACGTTAGGCATCCCCGAGACTGGTATATTGGGTATTAATCTAAATAAGCCAGGTTCTGTGTTTGTAATTATTAATTTTTAAAGTTAATCTTATTATACTAATATTGAATATCTATATTACCCTGTTGAGGTTCATTTCTGAACTTGAATTCGTGATAATTAACTATAAAAGATAAATAATTAATTTTAATTTGCCATGATATTAATTATAATTGTAATCACCTTGCCAATTAAGGTTTCCAAAATATGGCTGAGGTAGTATCAATGTATTAACAAACAGGATTTGAAATAAATATAGCAAGGCACATTTATTTATATACGCTATATTTGAGGACATTTTGAGTTTGTTAGATTTTTAATTTAAAGTTTTATATTTAATATATAAATAATTTTAATTAGCATTTAAAATTATTTTGTCATTAAATTAAATATAAAACAAATTACGTTAAATTCTTTTTAATTATATTAATTCAAATAAATTGTTTTGTGAATAATTAGTAATTAGCTTAATAAAAAAATTACAAATTTGGGATGACATTGTTATTTCGCCAAAATACAAATTTAAAATTTTTTTTAAATTGCTAGATAAGATTGAAAATTACAGTACTTATTAAATGTCAGAAAATAAATTATTTTAAACATTTATAAAAATATAAGTTTTAATAATTAATATTATTTTTCAGTTTTTGTTCATATACTTGTCGATTAGTAAATAATATTTTTGACTTAATATTGAATATTAATTTTTAAATATTTTTACTATTTAGCCTACTTTAACTAGAAATATTATAACATATAATTTAAAAGTATAATACCTCTCAAAACTATTTAAAACCTTTTCATTAAACTTATAATTTGGATTTTAATGTTGAAATTAATTTATTATATTTATAAATAATTTAGCAACACATTTATAATGTTAATAAAATATATTTAACATTTGTTTTATAATAAATTTATATTATATATTTTAATTAAGGTGTCTTACCTCGATCCCAATTAAAAATAAACATGAATTTTATTTAAATTTAAAATTTCACTATCAATTTATTAACAGTTTATAATGGTTTTAAATTATAAAAAGTTTAACTTGCTAATAAATCTGGTGTTTGTTACATAAATAATTTATTTTTAAAAATATTAACTAGTAACCAAATAGGCAATATAATTATGGTTAATAAAAAATTGATCAAAACTTAATAAAATAAAATGTTTATTTAATTTATGTTTAAAAAATATACAAAATAAATTATCTATCTGATTCTGTTGTTGTTGTTGTTTTAGAAGCACCTTGTTCACTTTGTTCCTCAGTTACGTCACCACTGGATTTTAACGGTACATCCGGAGCGCCGGTAGTGGTTGTAGTATCACTACTATCCTCCCCTCCAGAGTCAGCCTTTAACGTCACATCAGGAGCACCGGTAGAGGTCGTAGTATCACCCTCAGTACTTGTCTCCCCTTCAGAGTCAGCCTTTAACGGCACATCCAGAGCACTGGTAGCTTCAGTAGCTCCTGCAGCCCCATCAACCGCGGTAGTAGCCTCTGGTGTTGGTGTAGCACCGGGATCAGCCGCCGTTGCTGGATCACTAGCTGCCGGTGCTGCACCCGGGTCACTCGTAGGCTGTGCTGGTGTTTGGTCACCTCCCGTGCTGGCTATGACCCTGGTGCCCGGTTTACCCTGTTTCATTTTATGGCGATTCTTTTGATATTCCTCGCTTTCATTGCTAAACTTATTTATAGCGTCCAAGGTGCTATTTGTTAATTCCCCTACGATCGCTGACCTATTATTATAGATCTGGGTGGTCTCATTTTGTAGTTGTTTCAAGGTTTTGCTATTTTGCTCGTAAACCATCTTGGTGCCGTTGACTAGTACCTTGGCAAACTTGGTGGTGCCATTGACAAACTTACCCGTGCTATTTTTGATTTGGGCGGCGTATTGATCACGTTTATTCCAATGGCGCATGGTCTCATTGCCAAGTACTTTGGTATAGTGCCATGTACCATTTATCAAAATTTGACCCACCTTGGCCGTCATGTTCAAAAACTTTAGCGCACCCAAGCTTAATATGTTGTACACTTTTTGAGCTTGCTTAAACTTCTCCGCGTTGGTCATCGGTCTATTGGCTACGCCTGTCGTTCCCGGTGCTGCTACCAGTGCCGCTCCAGGTGCTGCTTTTACTGGAGCAACTTGCACACCTCCCGCTTTTACTACAGCACCTGGAGCTCTGGGAGCACCTGGTTTAGATGGTGCTCCCGGGGCTACCGGTGCAGCTAATCCTGATGGTTTAGCCACGGGCTTAAGTTGAACCACCTGTGCTTTTGCTACGACAACTGGTGGTGGGGGTGAGGGTGGAGGTGCGTCTGGTGCGGCATCTTTGAGTTTGTTATCCTCATCCGAGGCCTCCGTATTGGTTGTCTGGACAGTCGTCTCTGGAAATACATGTAATTAATAAGTAAGGGCAACACACTTGTCATAGGGTTCCACTGAACCAACCCCGACCCCCGAATAGCATTGCAGTGAAACAAACCGACTAAATATACTACCTAACCTTGCCCAATTTGGTTTCACTGCAATGCTAGTGTTGGTTAGGTTAGGCACTTGCAAGGCTATTGCGCAACCGGGGTCGGGGTCGAGGCCGGGGGTTGGTTTAGTAATTGTCCTTGTCATATATTCATGGATACCGTTACCCTGCTTACCAGAACCTTCGAGGATGGCCTTTAAATTTTCATCCACTTCCTCGGTAGTGGTGGTGTCGTCGCCCTGAGCCAGGATAGCCTGTAAATTTAGATCCACTTCCTCGGTGGTGGTAGTGGTGGGTGTGGTCGTGGTTTTGGTGGCTTTGGAGGCTTTGGTAGTTTTGGTAATTTTGCTGGTTTTACCTTGGTTATTTAATCAGATGTTACTTATCAACGATAGTTAGAAATTAAATAATTAGTTTTATATAGTTCCTAGTTTTAATAATTAGTAAAAATAATTAAATAGCTTTGTTATTTTAAAAATATAACTCATTATTTAGCCTAGCTACATTATTTAGTATAATTAATAAGCATAATACTTATTTTATTAATGTTATGTAATTAGTTACGAGAGTCAGTGACACTGACATGGTGTACCCATTAGGGAATATCCTAGTAGTTAACTTATTTAAGCTAGGATATTTTTAGTAAAGATTTATACTGAATTTATATTCTTAAAAGTGTACCTGCTCCTTGCAATGAATGGTCACATATTGAAAATACAAATAGCAAAACAAATAAGTAACTATAGCCCGACATAATTGCCATTTTTGTTATTTAAGTTCATTTTTTCAATTTAATTACAAACACACTGTTAGCTGCTATTTAAATAACTAATAAAAAATAATTTATTTTGGAAAGTTACATATTTAATATAATCAAAACTTAAATGTACATTTTGGATATCGTTATCATGTTTATAAAATTTTACTAACAATTATCAAATAAAAATATATCTTTTTTACATTATGTTATACTAGTTACAAAAATAAGCATAAACATTAAAAATTAAATATTTAACACAGTCAAACTGCAACTTAAAATAATAATAAAATTATGTGTAATGAAATAATTTAATAAATATTTTTATGGGGTTGTCCGGCAGATGGTTTTTATTGTGAAATAACATTTAAATTTGATTTTTAAAATTATTTTTGATTTAATAAATTAATTTGTGGATTTCCAGGTTACTGTTTTGCTATATATAGTTAACCACAATAAATAAAATATTGAAACATTAAACATTTTAAAGTAATTAATACAAATCAGAGTACAATATAATCAAAATAATTAATATTAGTTTAAATAAACATTTTATAAATTCAAGCCTAACTAAATTGAATAATATTTACTAAAAATTTGTTTTTATTAAAATTTTATTATAAAAATCTCTAATATTCTCAGATACATCGAAACTGTAATAAAACAATAAGAAATGTAAACAATTAATTTAATTAATAATAACAAATTAATTTTATTATATTTTTTATATTTTTAAAACATAAACAACTACTAGTAACTGGATAACTAACTATTAGTAACATTGTATATATTTTAGCATTATAGTATTTTATAATAAATTTTATTAAATAGTAAAACATTTTATCTAGCAGAAATATATTATTACTAGTAGTTTTGATTAGTTTATTATTAACTAAAATATTACATGGATAATTTAGAAATAAATTAATTCCAAATGCTTTTTCAAATGTGTTTATTGATAGTAAAATAATTCATATTTTTTCAAATAATTTATAATTTTTTTATTAAAACGAAATTTGTGAGCTTGGTGGTCTGGATTGCAATCCAATTCTAGTTGCTGCCCCACGCAATTGACCTGGGTTACTAGATGATGGACTGGCACCAGCACGTATAGGCGCGTTATTAGTCTTGTAGGGGTAGCCGACCACTGGACTAGTAGGATGACCAGGATTAGTAGCCACATCACCCTCACCGGCAACTATTCCTTGATTAGGCACTCCCAGCGCTTGTATGGGAGCCGTACCCGCACTGCCATCCAGTCCCGCACTACCAACCAGTCCCGCAATGCCATCATTTCCCGCATTACCCACGATTACGGGATTATTTTGATCGCCCCCAGGGTTAGGTTGATCAATACCTGAGTTACCCTGAGTGGGCACTCCCTCATTATGCTCTACGTCAATGCCAACTTGCGGTTGGGGCTGTCCCAGGTCCGGTTTATTAAGGCGAGCACCGAGACCCGCTCCCCATGGACGTGGTTGCTGCGCACCTGGCTCATTGTCTGGCTGTTGCAATACATACTTGTTTCTATGTTTATTTGCCACTCCGGGATTGCTCGGTATAATTAGGTTGCTATAAAATTCGAGTTCACCCGCTGCACCAGGGTGGGTTTGTGCGGGATTATTGCCTTGTTTCGGGATTTTACTGGCAGATCTAGACTGGGGTTGTTCAATAGGTTGTTGATTAGGTTGAGCACCGGTATCTACTTCCTGTTCCGGGTGTTGCTGTATGTCATTGTTTATGTGCTGAATAGCCGGGTTATTTTGAGCCGGAATTCCCTGATCATGTCCAGGCAGAGCTACGGCAGCTAAATGGGTGCCATTTTTGGCGCCTGATTTTGCTTTCAATTTAGCCAGGTATTTGCTAGCTAGCGCAATAGTGCCCTGGTACAGTTCCTTGATGTTAACCTTACGATTTTTGATGTAGTCCACAGACTGACTGTAGTAACGTTTGAGGTCCAGGGGTATGACGGATGAGTTAAAGGTACCGAAGTTTGTCAACAGGAATTTACCGAAAAATGACCGAAATTTCTGTAGCGTGCCATTCACTCCTAGGTCATTTAGTAAGTTAAGTGTTCATTATAAATTAGTTAAATTAAAATATAAAATTAATTTAGGCAGCATATAATCCAATAGTTATAAACATACTTTTTGAAATTAATTAAGTATTTGTTGGTGATTAAGTTTACAGTTTTAAACTATTAGATATTTATCTATAATAAAACAAATTACCACTATCATTTTATAGGTAATTTTATGGTTTGTAGTTTGTAAAATTATTTTTCACAGCTCTGAGTTCACTTCTAACCAAATTTAATTCAAAACTTTTAAATTTATAATTAAAAAATTATTTTTTAAAAAGTTTACAGTGTTAAAATATTTCATAATACAAAATAAAATATTTTCAAATTAAACAAAAAAGTATATACAAACTTTCGGAAAATGGTGAGGGTGCTGCAGACAAATGTGGCCATAGTGATGCTGTTTTGGCTACAATGGCCATGTTCCCATTGTTAGCTAGGTTAAACAGATAAATGATAATTAAATGACATTTTAAGTATGTTAGAGGGCGGGGTACTTACAAAGTGCTATAATGGCTACCTCTTCGGGTTTGTTAGCTTTCATGGCATTCAGGTTAAGTGTTTGCCCAAAAACACTTCTCAAGTCGGACACGACTGTCCCGTTTTTTTCCACCAGTGTTATGGGTATGGGATGTGTGGAGACTAATTATTTTTGATAATTTAGAAACAAAAGTAGTATTTATTTTGTAATATTGCAATGTGTTTATTACTGTACTACGGTATTAGTACTAGATTTTAGTACTTACCAACTACATTACCCTTAACACTAGGTTGTTGATTAACTTGGACACTTGGTTCTCGATAAATTTGCAGATTTTCTTGTACAGTTTCTTAAATAGGAATTTTAATATACCGTATATACAGTATATACACTTAATATATTTATATTAAAAGTTTTATATTACCAGAGTTAGGTGGCAATGGTCGGTTTTCAGGTATGACCCCGGTATTTGGTGATACTGTGTTTGGTATTGGGTCACTGTCAGGTGCATCTGGTTCTAGTGGTCTAGTTAACCTATTATCTTCACCTATTAAATTATGTGCAAGCTCATAAAGTAAATAAATTTATTTGTGTATATTTAAATAATTAATATAATTAATTACTTGATATGATTAGTATTAGTATTGTGAATATAAAAATTATTTATTTATTTTTAAATTATCTCGATTCCAATTATATTAAATATAATTTATTTAATATTTTAAACTGTACCTGGTTGAAGTGATTGCACTGAAGTAGCTACTAAAATTAATACAATAAGTAAATTAATATAATTAAACATTTTAATTGTGTAGTTTTATTAATGTCTTATTTTTATTAAATTACACAGCCATGTTGGTTAATTAAATTTTATTAATTAATATGTGTTCATGAATTAAAAATTTAATATAAACTAAATTACTTTATTAACAACAAATAAATTACGTGTATTTAGATTATAAATATTTCTATAATATTACATTTTTAAACATTATATTGAACACGTTCAGTTTAGATTGTAAAATAACATTACTAATAATTTATAAAATAATAAATTAATCATGGTATTTGTTGGACCCGTCACACAGTGTATTTATCTACAGCTAATTTAACTATGTAAAATAATAAAATAATTTATTGTGATTTATAGAGACATTTTTGTTACACTAACAAGTTGTTAATTATAATAAATATAACAAGTTGCTAGCTCATTAAATAAATTTTATTTATTGTACAAAATCTAATGATTAAGCACTCAATAAATTAAAATAATATTTTATTAAATATTCTTTAAACCTTAATTACATTTTAATCGCGTAAATAATTTTTTATTACTAATAAGCTAGATTAATAAAATATTTATTTCCAAATTAAAATTGTAATAAAAACGCAAACAATTAGCCGAAACCTATACTAGTAATATAACTTTTAATAGTGGACATGGTGTTATTTAAAACATTGAAAACCTTGGATATATTAAACACCAAATTTTTGGCATAGACATAGGTGACATTTAAATTTCTAAAACTTGGATAATAATCAATTTGATTCAAATCGGCGCCTATAGTTTCCAACTCCTTTTGTATGTAGTCTCTAAAATAGCCTTTCCCTTTGGTGGCACGTGGTTCTGTGTGATTATCCTGGTTATTTGTTGAGCAATTTGTAAAGCTACCTTCCATTTTAGGCTTTCCCCGTAGTCTCTCGATTGAAGCAAGGTCATTGATTATGCCCGGGGTATTTTT